CCTGATACTTTTTTGAAAATTTTTCATTTTTCTATTTCAGTGAATACCTCCTCCATTTTCATGCTCATCTGATACTTTTTTGAAAATTTTTCATTTTTCATTTTCAGTGAATATCTCCTCGATTTTCATGCTCCCCTGATACTTTTTTGAAAATTTTTCATTTTTCAATTTCAGTGAATATCTCCTCCATTTTCATGCTCTCCTGATACTTTTTTGAAAATGTTTAATTTTTCAATTTCAGTGAATACCAATTTCGTAACACATAAAATAAAATTCACCCAGTTGACTGGTCCCTCTGACAGCGGGACTGCTTCCGAGGCAGTTACCGAGTCGGCTGATGGGACGACACCCCCATTGCGTGTGGCGCCCTCCTTCTGTTGGGGTGCAATACTACGATGCCGCTGGGGTCACTCAAACCCCCAGAACTGAGCCTCTACTTCAGTCAATCCTCTTTGGTCACCTGTTTGACACATCGCGTCGGCAGTGTTGAAACAATAATTCCTCAAGTACTCTAATTTCGTCGATTCCTGTCCGTAAAATTTCGGGTTTCAACAAAATAATCAGTTTTCAAGTCGTACACCAGTTATTCTACGGAATTGATATTCCGGTGTTGAGGCAGGAGTGATAACCCGGGGCAGGAGGTCACCAGCTGTTTCCCTGATTTTATCTCTCAATACTCCATTGATCCCAGAATAATTTGAGGGGATTATTTTATCCCATATGTACCTGGTAATGAGGAAAGTGCGAGGAATTTGCGACGATTGATTGATCTGGAGCAGATGCAGAAGGCAGCGAATCAACTGTTGCAATCAGTATCCTAATGACGTTTCACTGCGAAAGATGACGCACTATCGAGCCTACGGAATCTCCAATATTTTTTTTTTATTCACTTGTGTCACCTGCGTCTGCGGAGATCTCCAGGATTTCTTCGAGCTCCAGGTAAATTATCGAAGTAACAATTGAAAGGGCAGTCATCATTTTTTTATCAACATTTATTTAAACTTTCTTAGAACACCTTGCGCTGTAATTTTATCGTTGAAGTGAGGTATCCACTGGATTTTGGGATTTGTTTCAGCAAAGGAGAGCCCATGCGCCTTTGAATTTCGGTAAGACAGAGGAGAAGATCCAACAGGTACAAGATGATCATGGTTGGAATGAGGAAAGTGTGAGGGGACTCGTTGGTAGTCAGCCGGCGCTCCCCAGGAAGTGGAACATTTCATACACTTTTGATCCAAACATAAAATGGGAGAAAAACTGGACGTCATCTTCAGAGTTGGGCCAGCTGTCTGCAGTGGACATAGACCCGTCTGGCAATGTAGCGATATTCTGCAGAAGATCTCGCATCTGGGGACAGGACACCTTCACGATGGACAACAAATTCGACCCTCGTAAAGGCCCGATCCCCGAAAACGTGATAATTCTCCTGAACAAGGAGGGAAAAAAGATCTTGGAGTGGGGTAGCAACACATTTTACCTACCCCATGGTTTAACAATCGACTGGGAGGGAAACTACTGGCTGACAGACGTGGCAATGCACATGGTGATGAAGTTCTCAGTTTCCTCAATAAAATCAAATATTCCCACTTTGAAGAAGGCTGAGGGTTCGTCAGCACGAGAGACTGAAATCGATCTGAACAATCTCTTCAGGGACTCTATCGTCAAGCCAGTGCTAGCCCTGGGGGATCCCTTCCAGCCTGGAAACGATGATCAGAGATTCTGCAAGCCAACAGCGGTGGCAGTAATGAGGAATGGGGACTTCTTCGTGAGCGATGGCTACTGCAATTCCAGGATTGTAAAATTCAACTCCAAGGGAGAGAGAATATCACAATTCGGGAAGTTCTTTTCCCCTGGGCTCCACCAGCAGCCCTCACCGTACGTCCTGTCCGTTCCTCATGCTCTAGCACTTGCTGAGGAGCTTGGACTCCTCTACGTTGCCGACAGGGAGAATGGTAGAATTCTCGCTTTTCATGCGCTGAATGGCACCTACCACAGAGAATACAGGCATCCAGCTATTGGCGACAAAATTTACAGCGTTGCTTATGCCCAGGGAAGGATTTATGCTATTAATGGACCCGTTTTTTCTCAAAGCTTTCATGTGAGGGGCTTCAGTATCGATATTCACTCTGGAGAGATCATCTCCCAGTTTGGACCTGATGAGGACATGAAAACACCTCATGATCTTGCCGTTAGTAAGGATTCCAGTCAGATTTATGTCGTCGAGCTCGACGATCATGTTGTCTACAAATTTTTACAGGGTAAATTGGTTTTTCCATTATTAGAATAAAAATAAGTGAAATCCATGATGCTAAGAGGAATGAAGAGTTTTACGGCGTTCAAGTGCCCCAGATAAGTTGCGAATTTAATTTAATCTTGTTTTAATAAGACAGGAAAGTCTGACACTTTAGTCAGTGGGTTGAATCCACCGTTGACTGTATTTCGTTATTGAATGAATTTAATTACTTCTTTAGTCGATAATTGATTAATTATTTTTCGAATTTAACCCGTACATAATTAGACGTGAGGTTTTTCCATTCATTTGGTTATTCATCCATGTTATCGGTTATTGATGGCTGGAGTTAAAGAAAATGAAATTCACATCGACAATGTAACGTGCAAACAGTTTGGGAAATTTCTTTTCTCCAGCTGAAGTATCTCCAACCTCTGGAGCCTCAACCGAGGGAATACTCCTGAAACACGGATCTGAGCTCTTGACGAGCCCAGGATTCGGGCAAGAACCAAAGAAAATGGGAACAGCAACGTTAGCCCTCGTCTCAGTGATCACTTCCATCATCGTCATCGGTCTGTGCATTGCAGTCGCTGCTCTGTTCGCCAGATGCCAGAAGAGAGGTAGTTTATCACGCCTCGACGAGTCCCACGTTGAGTTTAAACGCCTAGTCGATTAAACTCCCATTTTTATTTAAATTCACAAACGCAATTCCACTCCTCACGTACTCTCCACTTACTTTTACTTTATCACGAATAATCTCGTAAGGATTGATCGACTCCCTCTCTTGTGATGTTACTTTATTTATTTTATTGATGTTTCATTATTGGAAGATATGACAATTGAATTGAGAGCAGTCCTCCATGCATTTGTGGTCAAACAATCGTACCAGAATTATTCTGCGCTCGAGTACAAAGAGAATATATTTTTCTCCTTATTTTCAGTTGTTCGCTGATAATATTTATTTATTGTGCAATGTCTCAGTGATTACTAGAATTAAATATACATTATTGCAATCAATTGTTTTTTACGATCCTTTTATAATTAACTGAGTTTTTATTTTACTCGTTTGGTTTTAGGCGTGATATTACTTTTGTTATCTCAGTAATAATATCGTATGATATATTTTTATCAACACAGGATGCTTATTATCAGTGCGTAGAAAATCCTACTGGGAGAGTGATCGAAAAGAAAACTTCAAGCTATCGAGAGTGTTGGAACCACGACAGGGTAAAAAGGGCTTTCGTTTATTCGATAAACGCCCCAATACCAAGGACTTTAGTAAATTAAATACCGAACCTGAGACCTCCGAAGACGAGCGCGGAGAGGACAGCCTCATTATTTAACCAAAAACCAAAGTGAAGAGAATAATATTCAATTAATCTCTCGATAAAATTTTCCTCTTCGTTTTATCATTATTTCTGCTTGAATTGTTGCGTGATCTTTACTTATTCCAGTGAATTTATTTATTTGTGTTGCATGAGAAATTACCACATGAAATTACCACATGAAATTAATGAAAATTGTCATGCTATTTTTTAAAACCAAAACATTCGTAAGAATTAAAATGCACTCATTAAAACAACAAAAACAAATCGACATCCCAGTTCACCTCTGAGCAATTATTATTACATGTCATTAATAATGAATGAATGATGAAAAAAATAGGAAAAACCAGCGATATTTACTCCATCAGACGAAACTTAATGGACCACCAGACGAGATTTGCAATACATATCGAATGAATTTGAAGTGTTTAATCAGTATTAATTGTGGTAATTAAAACCCCAAAAATACATTCCATCAAAAAAATGTGAATGTCCGAGGATCTTTGTGTTGCTTGACGTAAAAAATATGCATTCATCCGAAACTGTATATTTTCAATAAAAAAAAAATCAATGTTAGCACGAGTGCAATGTTAATTACCAGACGATACTGAGACTAGTCATCGATTTTTAATTCATTTACCTTCTTTCATAGTAGTGGGGGGATATTGGGAAGAGGTCAGTGTGTGCAAATTGACATTATACACCGTAAAAAGGGGATAAGAGAGGGCATGAAAGGCACATGAACGGCCAGTACGAGGTGCTTGCCAAGATAACTAATGCAAAATGGTGTTAAGTGACTCAATGATTACCCCATTATGTATCTCTGGATAATAATAAATGCTCACAGCGGCTTAAACGTTGATTACAAAGTCATTTAGTGAATGGTCTTGCGTTATTTGGATAAATTTTAATCATGTATTTGGCATTTCTCTTTTATTCATTCAATAAAACTATTTTCTCTTTCTCAGATAATTATTTATTTTATACATTCAGTTGACCTCTATACACAACTATACAACGATGAAAATGATAATTCATTCATTTATCGGTCCTCGTTACAACTCATTCATGAACAAAATAGTTTTAATAATAATTGCCGCTCAAGCGTGAATAAAATTTGAGAGAACAATGGAAATCTATTGATTTTTTGGTAATCATGCAAAAATTTCAATAGAATTCATTAGTGAAAGTCCCAGATTATTCCATCATTTTTTTTTCACGCCTGCTCTCACTGGAAAATAGAGCAAAACAAATTTATCGTCAACAATTACACATATCAACACTTTAAATTAATATAATTCCAAAATATTGTAACTTCTGGGATAATTGTCGTAATTCGTGACTCGAGGGGATGTTTCATTGATTTTTAAATAAAAATCTAGTTGGTTTACGTTATCCTTACCTTCATTTTGTACATTAAAAATCGTATACATTTTGTGATACATCGACAACTTGCCTAAATTTAATTACGAATAAACCGATTAAATTTATGGTAAATTCTACCCAGTTAAATTCGTACCTAGAATATTCAATCTTTGCACATGGCGTTGACGAATACCCAATGAATCGCTCGATTTTATCGACATTAAGGAAAGATTACTGCAAGTTCCAAAAGTATTAAAAATTAATCAGAAGTCTCAGACTACTGAAGTAATTACTATAATAAAAATTTCCACAGTCCATTTTCCCCCCCGCCCCCGTTTTTAACGTACAAACATTTTCTTTCCAAAATTTGAAAAAAGTATGTAGAATAACGATTAGAAGGTAATCAAATTGTTTTCGGTTGAAAAATCCGCAGAAATTAATTTTTTTAAGTGGATATCTCACTCGCAAGACCTACGGTAATCTCCCTTTAATCTCGTTATGTCTTTAATTTTTTTTTTCTGTAATACCATAATGGAGCGTTGACTGAGAGAAAAAGAACAGTCAGCCCCTTAATATCACAATGTCCAAGTATACTCGCGTTTCATTCTTCTTCCCATAGTTTTCACTCTCAGATTCTTTAATACGATAACTTATCATCCATTAATGATGCTTATTATATTTTATTATGTTGATCGTAAGACGTATACTCTATTTACAAAAATCTCTGCACTTCTCCCAAACGTGCAATAATCAAACATTTTGTTTGTTTTATTCCTAGAATTATTATATGCGTATTCGTGATGCTGAGGCTCCAGAAGATCCCAATTATCTAATTATTTCATGAGAGGAAGTTATAAAAAAAATCATTGAATAAAATAATATCGCGATTGCAGGTCGATTAATTTATAAATCACCAGCGAAGAAAAAGGGCGACCAGTCGACTCAGTTAATTGCTCTAATTAAACTAACAGAATTCAATATTTGATTAAATAAAATTACTGATATTGGGATCGCCTTGAGCCACGTCATGCCATGGTAAATTCCTGTTATCATGACACTCTTATCTCTCTCCATTCATGAATGCCAAAGCCGCAAAATAATAAATACTCCAAACGGAAAAGAAACAACAGAGGGACAACAGACTGCATCACTCCGTATTCAATCATTAATAACTCGAGTTAACAAGCGAATTTCCCGGATTTAAAAGATAATTATTCATCCTTTAAAACGAGAGTCGAATCGTCTAGATCGAACTACTGCGTGAGTTATTCATGACTGAATCCACCAGTCGTGAGAAATAAGAACAGATAAAATCAGAAATGAGAAAAATTCAGTTCTGCAATTTTGTATTGGCCTTTGACTGCTATTTATTTACATTACCCTTTTTAAAACTAAGTTAAATTAGTCGCTCTTTATCGTATACATGTTTCAATTCTCACTTAATCGCCCTCGGCGTGAATTGCGATTTACAACCGCGGTATGGAACATTCTCCGTGAAAACAAACGGAATTGAGTCTTCGAAGTTTTCATTGCGATTCAATCTTTCTGATCGTACGCAATCACAGGAGCCCTCACGATTTTTCTCCAAGTTTCCAAGTTTCCTCAAACAAGCACTTATCAATTTTCAAAAAAACCAAGAATATAAAAAATCATATTTCGCGAACAGATTGAGTGAAAACTCGAGAAAAAAAAAATTGTGAGTGCATTCCATTTGATTGTATTATCAATGAAAAATTAAAAAATGGGCAATGAAAATTTTTTAATTTCAATTCCGTTGGAATTAACGTAGAATGCCTCGTGGAGAAAATGATTAAAATGAAAAACGTTCGTATACCAATGATTTCCGGTTTGATCTCCTCGTGGGAGATTAACAATTTATTATTTATCTGGAAGAGATGGAGTTCAGTACACGGAACTGTATTCGAGATCGTGGGACGAGTACTGGGGCGGTCCTGGGGGTGGTGGCGGCTGAGGGCTGTATTGCTGGGATGCGTCGGATGCACGACGCCTCAGGGCTGCAATACTGTGTGCACCTCTCCAATCTGATGCTTCACCATCGCCACTAACACAGGAAACACCACCACCACTGCCGGATGCCGCACCTGGTGAGCCCTGGCCGCAGTTCATACCACCCCCTAGCCCACCCTGTCCACCGGTACCCACTGTCAAGGCACCCGGTGGCGAACCCCGGGACGCTGACACATGAACACCACCTGGACAAAAAAAAAATCCGTTCCTCCAGTCTCAAGATTGTCATTACACGCGGTAAGCAATTCATAATTCATATCTTACGATTCATATTTTTCAGTTAAAAATTTCGAATTATTAAACACCTACATACTGTAATAAATAATTATATTTTTTATATGAGAGAATAATATCATAAATGTAACTGATATTTCCAGAAATTTTTAACCGTCTTTATTATTTGTGAAAAGAGTTAGACATTTGTGACCGAGAAAAAAAAATATCGAAAACTGAACTGCGAACCAGTAAAAATCGATGAACAACATTAAATCGGCCATTTTCGCTGGTGTTAATTATCGCTTCATAGGAGTTACGTTTTCGGTAGCTGTTTTCAGAGTCTATACACACATTTCCACACTCACATAATGATCGTTCTATGAGTGGTTCGGCGTCTCACGCCTCGAAAGTGCTAATCATCATTGAAAACTCGAGTTGAGGTGGGGAAAGAGAGAGAGGAGAGAAAAAAAAGAGGTGAAAAAAAAGTAGAGCCGAGCTCTCCGGGTGTTTGCCGGAGTGGTTATCTGTCGGGAGACGTGTCTTGATCGTCGGAGGCTTTCACTACTGTGCAGAAATTCCACCGATACATTCGCACACCGGAAAAAAAAAAGGAGAAAACGGTAGCTGCGACAGCCACCCCATAATTGCAGTCGTAAAAGACGATCCATTTTTAAGTAACGAGAGATGCTGCCTCACGGTGATAATCCACACTAATTGGCTGTTCCGCGCAATGAAATGCTGCATTATGTGTCTGAGGTTCTGGTGGTACGAAAAATCGGAGGCACGAAATAGTCGTTCATTGGAATTCGAAGGGTGTAAAAAAGTAAATGGAAAATTTCTGGAGAAAAAAAATGAGTGTCTCGGGCGTTTGCGCTTTGCGGCCAAATATTTGAAGCGAAATATTCACCGAGGTAGGACCATCTTTTTTTCGGGAAGATAATGTTCAATATTGTGAGTCTCGGGTGGGATCTTGGGTGAAGCAAGACAAGTTGCATCGGGATGTTATGGTAAATATAACAGCGAAAGATCTCACACCTAGGTGCGACCACCTTGAGGTCTCACTGCGCAAACATTCGACTTGGATGGACTTTATGTTTCTGGCTCAAATTCTTTACGTGAGAGATCTTCTTGAATTCATTATCGCCGGTTTTAGGATTTACAGATTTGATGGGAACCTCCGCTATTTCAGCTTTTATCCCAGTTTGACCATTTTGTAAAATTATAATCCTGAATTTCACTGAAGAAAAAATAATACCGGATAAAAAATAAATTCTTCAAGTCTCATTGCATTAAGGGTTGTTTAAAAAATTGAGTGATCGTTACTCACCCAAGGAATTAAGTCCATAACTAGCTTGATAAACAGTCTGCGAGGGACTACTGATGGGCAGTGTTGAGTTGCCAAGTCCAAGACTAGAGCCCAGACCACCTGAACTCTGCTGGCTGAGCTGACCCAGACTCTGCCCAAATCCAGCCATGCCCATTCCACCCTGGCCCAGCTGCCCAAGACCTAAACAATCAAATCACCTCGACAAAATTAAACTCGCTTTCTAAAACCAGGAAATAATTTTCCTGCGGATGATGGTTGTGGTATCAGGGACCAACCTGGACCCATTCCCCACCGGTCGGTGGGTGCGTGGAACATTCCAGCTGCGGCCCCACACAAATCTGAACCCATCGCCCCAAAAGGCGGCAATCCATGAGACGGTAGCAATGCACCAGGTGTTCTAAAGACATTCGTCGTCTTCTTGCGTTTTTTCCACTTGGCTCGACGATTCTGGAACCAAACCTAGAAAATATAAAAATTATATTAAATACCCATCGATTGTACATTTTCCCCGTGGGAAAAGAAAAACGTAGAGAGAAAAAGATGAGAATTGAGACTTGGGCCCAAATTGTAGGAGTAATCCAATAAAAAATCTCCAAAATTTTCCCCAGCTGTAATATCTGTAATATCTGCCCCATGAATAATTACCCTGGCTATAATAATCCCGAGAAAAAAAAGAATCGTTCTTTGTCAGAAGAAAATGTGGGAGCAACGAGGGGAAGAGTGAAGACTCAAAGGAAAATCCCGCCTAATATTGCGTTTGTGTTAGCTATCGGTATATAATGTTGTACATAAGGTATCAGGGAGAGCGATAAGGTGTCCCTTGGCGTTACTACAATATCTTGGACCCCAGTGTATGAATGAGAGAGAGGAATAGGGAAAAGGGAGAGCACACCGGTAGCTATTAGCCGACGTTATGAGCTGTTGATTCTGGCCACGTAGTGCGTCCCTTCTCGTCCTAAGCTTGCCGGGGGTTCCCGGCGACTTGATTTATTGATATCGCATGCAAAGCCCCCACCCACCCCTCGGTACAATCATCTCACTCCGTCTAATGTGTCCATCTCTTTCTTACCCCTCAAACATTACCACTGGGCAAATGTAGTTGCGCACCTTCAACCAACACCCGATTATATATCCCGTGTACTCGTGCTTTTCGATCATAAATTAACGCTTTGGCATTAGCACGCGAACGTACTCTGGTGCTTTGCAATGAGCGGCGAGATATCCGCAAAGTGTGGCGCTGGCTTTCTGCTCAAATGCACGTGGATTATTTGAGTCTAATTGGATTTATTGGATTTTACGGGTTTCGAGGCTCTACCCGAATTCCACGGCTTTCCCCACAACCCACGTGCAAATATTTATGAAAAATCGCTATTTTATCCGCGCGTTATTTTTATATTTTAACGAAAAAAACAATTAAAAAACCAATAGATAATATGTATATTTTTTTTTCGTTGCATAAAGTGGATCATCCTCACGAATAACAATTATATGCGCATAATTATATGTGGCATATACATGAGATATATGGGATATTCTTTTTGCGGGCCGAGATGTGAGCGCATGTAATCGTTAATTGAGTTAATTTGGAAAAATTCTGGATTAATTTTTTGTTGAACTTTCAACGCCCGGAGATTCACCCTAGAGGTAGAGGGTGCGGTCCTGACGATTTCACGCCAGAGGAAGAAGCTAAAAGCCCGTGGATAATTCAACGACGTGCGATCCCCAGGAATAAAGAATCACAGGGTGTGGATGGCAAAGTCACTCCGATGTTTATGATGTATTTGAGATTCATATCTATACTAGGGGAGAATGAACACCTTGGATGATGACTAAGAGAGGATTGCGCACCGTTGGGGGCCAATTAACCCACCGAAAATTGGTCAATCATCGACCCGCACCTTTCGAAGTGATGCAGATGTTGAAGATGCACCTGGATCACCACCGGTACCATTACAAACTCGAAAATTATTAATTGAAAATTATTTATTAATTGCAAAATCTGAAAGACAAAAATTCCGCTGAATTGTTTCTCACGGAGACCGTAAAGTTGGAATTTTTCATCATTGGAACAATGCCTCGACGAATATTCCACCCTCACCCCCCAATTTCTCGTACCCATCATCATCAAAGTCACCCTCGTAATGAAATAAAGTTTGAAGCCTCCGAGATTTTCTCATTCTACCCCCAGAACCGAGTGGTTTACCTTGAAATAAAAAGATTGGGAGAACGCACGGTGAAAATAAAAATAAAAAAACTGATGAAGGGATAGAGAATAGTTCGAGGGGTATATGCAGTACCTGTGAGAGGGGCTCACTAGGTGCTGATATAAATTGAACTTGCCATCAAGGCAAGCGCTGGGATCACTGGGGACCACTGGTGATATATACCAGTAGATTTTACCCCGCCATTGAGTGATCGTTTCCTTCGAAGATAGAGAGGAGATCGTAGTTAAGTGAGATGGAATTTATTGGTTATTGAAATAGTCGATGGTCAATGTCACACTTGGTGAAAAAATATATTTTTGCAATTGATCTTACAATTTTGTCAAATTTTTAAATTAAAAAAAAATGCAGATCTGACGAAAAGTGAAAATTTGATGGAAATCATACATGAAGATGATGTCGAGGGTTCTGTTGCCCATTTAATTTATTTTATTTTATTTTATTTAGCTTGAAGAACTGGATAGAGACGAAGCAGCCCAATGGAGTGGCAAGTTGAGATTTTCGTCTGGGGGTGAGGGTGCGGTTTAATGAGAATAAATATTGTATAAACTCGGATGTGCATCGGTCTGATGGATGATGGTGGGAGAATTCTGTCGGAGGGTCCCGAAGACGCATTACCCTCTATTCTGGACCACCTACTGGGCTCTTTTATCTCTTCACACACGGTTATAATGTTTGACGTGGTAAAAGTCTTTGGAAGAGGCATTAACACCTCCAAGAACCTCAATAATCGATTCCGAGTGGCACAATAAATTTTTAACATTCCCTCAAGTTCATAATCTCACGCAATTAAAAAATCAATGCTCCATTTTTATTTGAGTAATATTACGTGGCGTGCTCTCGACGATTCGACAATTGCCAGGGAATCGGTGGAAATTCAAAAAATGTATCTATCAGCGTAATGAATGTACATAGTAAAATTCAAGTAATAACCCTCGTATAAACTCATGTTCGCGTTCATGACAGCTCAATGGAATATCTCACTATGTGTCAAGAATATGTGTTTTTAAAATAATCTCTCAAGGAATGTGAAATGAAGTACCCCATGAAAGAACGGGGAAAAAGGCCATCCTGTTGGAATAAACTGCATGTTGAAAAGTAGAGGAAAAAGGGCGGAGAAAATGTGAGATCGTGAAAAAGGTGCACCATAAAAATCCAGGGAAAGCACATGGGCCTGGGTGCTTGCACAGGCCGATCGTAAACTTGATCCATTTATATTTTATTATTATTTCATGGATACCTGGGCAATATCGTTGGCTGTACATGCCAGATACTCGGAAAACCGTCACGTCGTCAAATTAACTAAAACTGCATTGCCGACTTTATCTTCTGGAAGAAAGAGCGCGTAAAAATATCAAAAAAAAATCGGTTAAATAATTTTTTACACTCCTATCCAATCGGAAATTCCTCATTTATTCCCAAAGAGTGTGGAAATATCGCGGAATAAAATGATTATCTAAAAAATTATCTGTCCCCGAAAGTCTCTAATTATTTAATCAATAAGATTTTTCAACTATTCGACGGTGAATTTAATTTAGTTACGCCATTGATTTTTAAAATTAAAAAAATCAGTTTTTTTTTCTCTCAGCTAATAATTAATTTCCCAACAAAAGCTTGAGTTTCAACTAAGTTGAAAAATCAGGGAAATGTTCTCGAATTTTCCGAAATTTGTCTGTGTTAAAAATGTCGAGTGAATTTTTCCGGCTGCATCACGCGTGTCAGACTAAACGATACAAATCCGAAAATTAAATATCGATGTTTGTTAACGCGATTACTTATCGCGATCCCTAAAACTCGAGGGTGGAGTTGACTCTGGGGGTAAAGTGGGTGCGAGATGATAACCAAATGGGCGTCGAATGATGCTCCCTTGGGTAGACCACAGCGACACAGTTTATCCATTGAGAATCCCCATATACACCAGACCACTCTCACCCCATTTTTACCCCCTTTCAACCCCCTCATATTCTTTTACCCTCGCTAACACTGTCTCCCTCGCACTGACTCGGTCTACAGTGGTGGTCTGTGCGCCCCTTTTTGCATTATACGCGTTATATTTTTCGTCCCGACGACACGTAAGAGCTCATATCACAGTCTATGCATATTTATACAGCATTAAAAATCACAGCAAACCCTCTGCCACCGCCTTAAAATGCATGGGCCGTTGCATAGAAAAGATTGTTGCGCCCAAGTTATTATTATTTTTGCGAATAAAGTCACTCGATTTTTTTTTTCACTTCACTATAAAAGCATTTGCGCAAAAAAAATGCCTCCCATTAATTATCTCAAAACAATAAACAACAATATATTTATGAAACTGTATAAAAAATTGAAGTAAACATTTTCTTTAATATTAATAATTATTTTATATTTAGAGTTGTATTTTACTTTGTGTTCTTTGAAAACGATAAAAAATATTTTCCATCATTTATCTCCAGAATACATTGCGCCATCAATATTTCTTCCCGTGGTAATAAAACAAAATACACATTTGTGTCCCAGTGATTCGTGGATTCCCGCGAGATTCCCAAAAGGAGACTGACAGTGCCATCAGCATGCACCCCCAAGGGATGTTTTCGAGAGGAAACCAGAGTGTCCCATATGGTGACTCCTAGCATTTTGCACCCCCGGTCATCCCCAGGACCGACGACCCGATGATCCACCCGAAAGAAAATCCACCCCAAATCACGAGTCTAATCCAAAGGATCTCCAAAAGATTGTCGAAGATCTGTTTGATAACCCGTAAAAATTTTTCATCAGACAAAATTCCAACCCCTTTGACTCATCAATCATTTTTTTTGCTGATGGTAAAAGCGTGCGACATGTAGATCCTCTCCAGGGCTTATTTTTTTTTTCCTGTGGGTGTTTTTGGCACCGAAAACGAGAGGCAAAAGTGGCGAGTGAGAGGCGCGATGGCAGAAGTGTACATAAAATTTTCGGGAGGAGATAGTGGTAATCGAAAGAGGACCCTTCAGCCTAGAAACGAGGCTGTTACCTCAACCCGGACTGCGTCCACCAGAGTAGTTAACTTAAATGCCCCTGTTAGCAGACGTTAACTGCCAACTGTGCGCCGAGAGTTCCTATTCCGTGGACGATTGCAATTTTAATCGGCACTTCATTACGATTTAATTTAAATCGTTGCGCTCGGGCCTTCAATAAAGCTCAACCTGGGATATTCACCTGTGTTTCTGTCGTTAATGTAATCCATACATTGTTACTGGAACATTTTTCCAGACGACGGAACAACTACTGTCTGGGGTACATACTAGATCCTTTAAAATTTTCAGCGAGAGCTTTGCATTCCGATTTTATGAGCTTTCGAATAGTTTTTCTTACTCGAAATGTTCAAAATTTCAGCGATAAACAATATAATTAAATCTAGTTTATTTCATGATCGATTCTGGTATTTGTTATGAATAAATTAAATAATAGAAAATTTTTTGTACTTCGGAATTGATAATTAATTTTGATTGAAAACTTAATTTGAATGTTTGATACGATTATTAATATTTTTATTATTAATATGGATTAATTATTATTTGATTAGTATTATTATTAATATAGGTTATTAATGTTGATAAAATATTGTAGAATATATTCCCTGGGATTTTTCCATTTGACAATTCTCAAATAAAAAATGCGTTGACATTCCGTTACGAATTTCTCTGCGAATAAATTCAATCCGAAACAACCAGAAATTCCCAGAATTTCCACTAGCGATTTCATTGAAATTTTTTCCGTACCACCGGTATAGAATTTTTCTGAAGAATTTTCCTCGTCGCGCAGTAACGAAATTTCAGACCAATTTTCCTACATTTTTCTCCACTCCGATTCCATTCCAATTGGCAATATGCCAGTGACAATCCCCTTGACGGGTTGAAAACGAAACGTAATTAAATCCTCGTAAGCGAAAAAACATGTTTTGGAAATAGAAGGCCAGAGGAATTCAAATGAATTTCTAGCAGAGTAACGTCAAAAGAGTTGCATCAGGAGTGGACGAAAAAAAAAGATACGTCGATTTCGAGTGATTGGAGCTGATTAAAAGGACAGAGTGGGTGGTCCCCGGTGAAAATTCGCCGCATTTTGTCAATTGACGAGACGAAAGAGTCCGCCATTCCACTTCAACTCGTTGGTTATTTTTTTTTTTCAATTGAAAGGACGAGAACATTCACCCCTCCGACGAAAATAAAATTGATTCACGTGTCACGAGTTGATTTTTTTGAGGTACCTCAGTGCCGAATGTCCAGGTATTGCCCTAATTATTGGCTTTCACGTTTGTTTATTTATTGTTTAATAAATTTTTCATTTCCTCAGGTGTTGACTCGTGTGGATTTTATCCATCGTATTTTTGCTATTTCATTCAGGACGAATGATTTATCGGTGGGAATAATCACTTTCGGGCTTTATGAAAAACAAATAACGAATATTTTTTATCATGACGATGTGGTGGTAATTGAGGTGAATAAAGATTGACGAAACTAATGAATTACCCTTTTCTAAAAACTGTACTAATTAAAAGTGCAACGAGTGTCGAGTCATAAATTTCGGTGGATATCATTGAAAATATATTCGATATGATAACTCCATTTCCGGTGAGGAATTCGTTTTAATATTTTCCACGGGGAAATGAATTTTTTTTTAGTCTTTCTTCTCGTCGCGTTCATTTTTACGCGCATTTTGCCATTTTGTTATTGTTATTGTGAGCAAAATAACGGACTCGGCTATCGTATGGGGTTTATTTATTTATTTATGTGACGGAGTGGAGATCGTTAGTCCGACGGCGAGGGGGAATGCATAAATGGAGTGAAAAGGGGGTATTTTCGGGAAAATGTGACCGGGGAATTCAATTTCGATAGACAGCGAAATGACAGACGTCAACCATTTGTATTTTCGGATGGGGGAGTATTTTCGAGATGATTCGTCGGGTTATCATTCGTCAGTTTAATTTATCGAGAGTGTTGATGAGCAGTGACCAGTGTTCGTGGTACTCTCGGTTATGGGGCTTCATTCAAATGTCGGGATTGATGAGATTTTTTCAGGTGCCTGTGGCGATCGGTCGCTCATTCAGTCTCGAGGACTCCATTTTTTTTAGTTGAATGAGTCTGCGGGGAGAAAAATATATCACTAATATCACAGGCAACGCGAGACTAATTCGATAAAATTTCCAATCCTCCGGGGATTCATTCCATAAAATTCCGGGGTAATTAGAACCCAAAAACCATCTCTCCACTATTACCATTACCTCCACAAAAAAAATATATAAACCACGCATTCGACCCGCACAGCAAAATATATAATCCAAAACTATGAACCGAGATATATTTCTCTCCGGAATTATATTTTAAATGTCCTTTACTATATACTCTGGATATATCTATACAGATAAATCCGAGATATATTTGGGATTGATTTTCTTCGAAATGAATAATTAAAAATAATTTACATATATTCCTGGATATATATTTATATAGATGAATTTGAAAGAGCCCGAATTTTCCAATTAAAATAGAGGACAAAGGGAAACTGGAGGTAACCCCAGACCAGCCATGGTAAAACAAGAAATCTTTGATAGCTGGCGCTCAATAGCCCCTGGATTTCAGTATAGCGCCGGCGCTTGCTTCCGCGGCCCCATTGGTGGCTTGAACCCAAAACCCATCTGAACGCGGAATCTCGCGGGTATGTTCCCTTGGAAACGCTTCGTCCGCTCACATCAACCCCCCTTTCCTCGCAGATAGAGGGCCTCTTTCAATTACACTCCCCCTCGCTTTTACCTTTTTGCCCTCTTTCCCCTCGTCATCTTCATCTCCCTGAAACGTCTCCTACCCTCAGATGTGCGAATATCCAACCTCTCGTCAATCGTCTCGATCCTCCTACCGCTCGATTCAGCCTTCACAGCTTTTTATCTCAATCGTTTACTCTTCTTATTCGACTTTTTTTTACCGCTCCCATAGAAGACGAGTGAATTTTACCCGATATCAAATCAATAGCCAGTATTTCAGTCCGATTGCAGACATTCAGACTCACATTGTCGGGATTGCGATAATTACGGGGAAATATTTGGTAATTGTAGAAGAAATTTCGTAAGAATTTTCGTAGGAATTTTCGTAGGATTCTTGGTAATCATCTTTCACTCCGGAATAATCGAAAATATGCCAATCTTATTCAAACTCACGGGCAATTAAATTTCTGTTTTGTTCCGTTACTCAATTGAAGTCGACTCTCATTTCATCCGATTTCTCGAGGAATATCTCCGAATCTAAACGAGATACTGAAATTCTGGTAATAACCTTTTTTGAAGGTCTCAAAAAACGCCGGGAAAAAGGTTCTGACACAAAAATCGCTATGACAGTTGAATAGCGAGATATCGACGGGAAACGAATAGTCCGTGAAAAGCGGCGTCAGATTTTCCCATTTCGCCGCTGAATTTTCCGTCAGAAAAAAAAACAACCGTCGAAAATATTGAATTCTCACCAGACACTACGATTATGATATAAAAGCTATCCGTAGTATGAATGAATCGTGAATTTTCCGTCAATTCGTCTCATTATGCTGCCCCGGAGGAGCACCAGTATAGCACAACGTGGCTGTAGTACAGAAAAAGTGCCGTATGGGTGGAGTGGCTGTTTGATATGCGGGTTGGCACTCACTTGACTGACGCTTTGAGTTTTGCGAATAAAAATTTCATGAATTTCTATTAGCTACGTTTTTCCAGCGAGCCCCAGAGAGCGCCAACTGATAAAAGAGCCACGTTTTTTTTTTTAGCCCATTGAGCACTTCCTCCCTCTCGCCTAAAATAACACCACTATTGAGATTGTGAATGAACACTTCCCCTCGAATTGGGTGTATCGACTTGATTTTAAATCGAATTGGTGAAAGGAGAGTTGAAAGTGGTTGACCGTCGGACGATGTCTCGCGGTTTTGCGGTAGGATCTTTCTGTACCCCTGCCACCGAATGTACCACCGATGGAGATATCACCCACAGGGACGAATATTCTAACCCCTCGGGTGGGGTACCCCGGGCTTAGCAACTCCAAGTTTCTGTTTAATCCGCAGAAGCCACTGGTGTCTTTCGCAATTGAATTCTAACGCCTGCGAAAATATCTTCGAGGTGTCTTCTCTGAATTCATTAAGACATTGTAATTATAATTTAATCATCAAGTTCAATTGCTTTCACTTGATATTTGGCACGGTTCACTGGAGCATTCCGTGAGGATGCGAGGATGTGATTGTTTAGACAAAATGATTTTTTATTCATCTCAATTTTTTTCACACTTAATCAATTGTGGAAGTATTTTTTTCCTTTGTCATTTAATTATTTTTTTTCTCTCAGTTAATTTCACTCAGGCTCATCAAATCGCAGGAATATAAAATAGTCTTACTTGCACTCTACTCTCGGTGAGTCCGATCCTCATGGCGATTTCTTCCCTGAGGAAGATGTCCGGGTAGTGGGTCTTGCCGAAGCACCTCTCCAATTCGTTCAACTGTGCTGGTGTAAATCGCGTTCGGTGTCTCTTCTGTTTCGCCGGTTTGTCGTCACCCTGACCAATAGCCCCAGCATTACCTGAAAATGAGAAAAGAATCCCTAAAAGTTTTTTCATGGTTAAATTAAGGCAACTTTTATTTGGTGATAATTCAAGGGAATTTACCTGCTCCCGGCATCCCCATTATCAATTCTTGATGGAGTGTCAGGCCTCCACCACTGGACAGAGTACCAGCCAAATTCGCCCCCAGCACGCTCTCCAATTTCTCGTGCTTCAGCTCCTGTGCGTGAAGTTCCTTCGTTCCTGATGATAATTACCCCATAATTAGCATGTGCAATTCAATTCGCCAATTATATCACTCATAACATGAAAGAATTCCTCGGAAATCCCACGAAATGAGAGAATAGTTTCCCACAAATATTTCAATTCTGCAATCACCCCTGACAATTCCTTCCCTATTATCTATTTTTTTTATCCAGCCAACCTTCTACCCCACAATTGTTAATAACAACAGAATTTAAACAACAGAATATGTGAAATTGAAACTCATCAGCAGAGTTCACGGTGAAATTAAATTGCATCTTCAAGGAGTTGAAAATTAATATCTGTTCAATATTTTTAATAGTGAATTTTTTTTTTTATGGTTTTTTTAAACAAAAATTTTTGCTTGCGGTTCTCCTGCCGATGCGGCATTTCCGTGAAATAACTCGAATCCTCGCGGAGTGGCACAAGTTCTTTTGATCTTTTCCCTTCGCCCTTTTGAGACACGGGATGGGCCAAAAGAACTAACGCGTATAGTTTAAATTTGTATAGGAGCAGAAGCCGAGAGGGACGCACGGGGTCACTTAGCACTGGGGTGTGAGAATCGTCACCGGCCTCTTGGCTTCTAGGCGAGAGAGCAAATACATACGCAACTGAAAACACTTCTTTACCCGGACATTAAGGTACCACGTGTGTGATAAGAATTGCTCTTTATAAAAAGAAAAAAAAAAACAAAAACATCGTACGACTGAAATTTGAAATCAACGTTTTCGTTAGCAGCCAATCTGATTCTTGGATCGATCTTTATTCGATTTTTCCATGAAATTGCTAATTCAGGGAAAAGGGGGAATTTGTATTTCGAAAATTCTAGTCAATTGAATTTTTTCACTTCAATCCTGCGGGTAGTTCAATCAAGTAGACCCAGTTTTAATTGAGATAGGGTAAAAAAAGAATGCAAAAACTTTATTCAAAACTTACGATTATGGAAAGTGAAGAAATTTGCGCGGTGGTGATGTAAGGCCCATAGAAAATTCAGATAAAAATTACGGATAATTATTTTGAATCGAATCTTTATCCCGATGCAAGTAAAATTAACTCGATCGAAAAAAATATTCTCCAGTCTTAAAACCGATGGATATAAATATATTTCTTTCCGATATCCACAGCTTTTGATATTTTTTCGAATTCGAATATTGATTAATGGAAAAATTATTGGCCTCAGGAGAAATTTTGAACAGATATGTTAATTTTTTTAATGAGTTAATTGACTACGAAAACGGGTCCTTTAAAATTCATTGATTTTGATTCTATGAATATGTAATTAAGGAAATAGTTTATAATTTATAGGATCAATAAAAACGTGTTGACAAAAAATGAACCGACAGTTGCAAAAAAATGATGAAGGATCTATTTTATCAGAGGCAGTGAAAAACGAATATCCTGAAGATGATGATCCCGCAATGTTCCCCAAATAACCGTGAAACAATCCAGCAGTTATGAATGGAAAATCGTTTACGACCACCGGTATTTCCACCGTAATGCACCGAGGTGTTTATTTCCATCTTTTCTCCAGGTTGTTTTTTATTTTATTGGGTGTGAGGGTCTCGGAGGGGTTTATGAGAGGCACTAGACAGTTGAAAATGATTCGGCACGTCGCTTTGATCCTCATCCACCATAGAATCGGCTTCTGTGTAATGTTTTCTCATTTTTATACTCCCGCAGATGAGTCACGAACCGCTGAAAACCTTTTTCTCACTAACCGAGGAAAAGCCGCAGTGATAATTTTCCTGGATGAAAGAATTTCCCTAGATCGAGGGATCGACGGGTTGTGAGGGGAATCGGATGACGCGAGATTGAGTCTCCGACGGCTACGGGATAGTGGAATTCCTGGGGATCGGCCTGTGGGGCCGGTTTGTTCGGTGATTGGGGGATTTAATTAGGGTAATTACTCACCGGTGATGCCATGGACGGAAGCTCCAGCGGAGATATTGTTGAGCATGCCTCCCCAGGAGCAATACTCCTGCACACCGCGTACGAATTTTCGTTCAATGGTAACACTTTGATCTACCAAAAACGATCGATAACAATCACCCACACTATTTTATTGTTTATTATTTGTTGTTGGATAACCGGTGAACTGACGTTCGGACCGAACGACCGGAAGGCTAACGGCGAACTGTCCAGCTGCCATTCCAAAACTCCCCACCTCTCGGTAAAATTATCGCTGTCCTCTTCTACGGGGAGAATTCACTCTGTCATACGCGTACGGCCGCACCCGCACATCCACGTTATCGGCTTCCTCCTCGCACATGCGGATCATACCCTCCCCTTTCCTTCAAAACGCTTTCTCGCTTGTGGGCGTGATATTAAATCGCGCCTATCCTTTGACTTCGTATCACCAACCCAGGACCGAACATCGACAAAATCGGGCCCCCACTCGATTCAAATATTATTTCACCTTTTTGGCTATTTTTTTAAAGTACTTTTTCGTATCAAACATTGAAGTGCAGAATCTACTCGTCATTCATTAATTTTATCTACTTCATTGTATTCATTAACTTTAGGCAGTTGGTAATTGTTTCGCTCCATTTTTTATCCTCTTTTTGAAAATATTATTCTACACAAATTTATTAATTCATGATATTTCATTTATTTTGGGTGATGTGATTAAAAATTTAATCGTGTAATTTAGTAATTAGTCGTTATTCCGGAATTATTGTTAATTCAAATTTTTTATAATCGAAATTATTTTAAGATTTTTGATTTTATTTGAGATTTTTTAGTGAAAAGGTAAAATACTTTGACAGCTTATTTTATTTTTACGATGGATTTTTTATTAAGTAATTAATTAATTTGTAGAAAATTATCGACATCAATTTTTTCACTCGCTTCTATTTTATCGTTCTCTAAAATCCCAAATAAACACCGATTTTCATCGAATTCCAACTGCCCTGAGCCACCGAATCTTCACGATCGTAAAAGAGATTCCGTAATCCTCCGACTCTTACCGTCGGTAATTGGATAAAATCGACAATTTAGAATCAGAAAAATATACTCTAAAGATCCATCACACACACCATCAAGCCTTCCAACGACTCTTCAATTTTTATCAATTGTCGTATTAATTTCAAATCCTCTCCCATAATTCCAAGTCAACATGACCACAATTATTGTCTCCCACAATTGGTAATTAAACAATTACAACTACTGCTCTTCAAATTCCATAAAAGTCTCTTCAATTGATTGATCAATCTTCTTGACGGCACATTATGTACCGCAAAAACAGTACCAAAGTACAAATTACCTAACCCCCAATTACCCACCTCAAAAATGTAAGATATAAAATTGTTTAACTAACCACCTAAGATTCAGGAAAAATCGAAGGTGAATATATTCCCTAAAAAAAAATATCACCAAAAAGATATCAACAATTCTCTTGAAAAATCTATTGTTTCAGTGCATGGACTGAAAAAAAAAAGTAGAAAAAAGTAAAAAAAAAAATGCAAGTGAATCAGCGTGACCCGTGGTACATAGTCCGTTGTATCCCAGTGTAAGTTGAGTAGGCGTAACCACCGGGAGGCACCCTCCAATGAGCGAGTAGCCCGCCCTCCGGATGCCCCACTGGGTTCACCGCCGTGCTGTTGAGATTTATTGAAATTTTATTTTTATGGAACGGGCGAGAGCTCGCGGGAAAGCGGACTCCAGTGGTGATAGCACGCCGTGAGAGGGCGGTGGGTGGTATAGGGGTGGTATAGGGGGGTGGTAGGGGTGAAGGGAGAGGGGGATGAGGGGGTGGAATGGCCCAGCCGAAGGAAAGATTGCTCCTCCAGCCCTGCTCTCGTTTTTTGTCTCTCCATTTTATTTTTTTCTCTGTTTTCTATTTTTTTTTTTTCATCCCTCCGTCTTTATCCTCCACCCTCTCTTATTTATCGCATCCGCCCTCTCCACTGCAGCCCCTCCGAATTTTCCGCGTTTTTTTTTCGCGGTAATTTAATACCCAAACGTTTTGTACAACTTCATAAACCGGATGGTTCAACTGCTGTTTCCAGTTCACTTTGAGATGCATGAGGTACGAGGGGGTGGATTTTTTTTCGGGGGGTGGACGCAGCAGGGGTGTGAGGGTGGGGAGTCTGTGCTTGATCGATTTTAAATGGTTTGAGAGATACTCGCGGGGTGGCGACGGGCACGTGGGGCTTTCTGTCATTTACACCTGAATGCAACGGATTTAATGACGTGATTGATTTTTAAGGCGTAATTAGTTGGCGAAAATTAGTCTTATGAGGGATTGACACATCGCAACTCGCGGTTACGCGATTGCCATTTTTGCCGAAATTCTGGTGGTTTTTTTGAACACGAGGAATAAATTCACGCACAATTACGTGACAGTTGGCAGAAAAAATATCCGTCAATGGTATGCTCGGAAATATTCGGAAAGTTATGCGAGAGAATCAAATAACCATTTTATATTTCACCCTTTGAGAATTACGAGTCACCACATTCACTCCCTCCTCATTTTTTCGTAATGTTCCATTTCAAAAATTACCATTCTGTAAATATGGGAATTATTAAATAAATACTGATGAATATTAACCAAAGACTCTCACCCGGAATTTCGGTAAAATCTCATATTTTCTAAAATTACGTTCAAAAATGGTAAATTTTAATTTCGACCCAAATTTTCTTGTACAATTTTTATTGAATATCCTCCGCGCAATAATTATCCGTCTACCTCTTGCACGGGACATCGCAGAACCCGAGGAATTCAATTGATGTAATAAGTTCAAGTATCCAAAGTGAATGAGTTTCTAGAGTGGGATTAGCAGCATCTTCAGTGAGGTATCCAAATATCATATCGTTTGATACTCCACTGGGTTTGGGGTGTTTTGTCGAAAGGAGAGAGATACATCATGTCGGTGGGGTTTGGATCGATGGAAAATCGGGCGTGCACACACACCCACATCACCAAGCACTGCAAAGGCATACCATTTTCAATGGGTTGTATACTCACAACTGCCTTCTCCCGAGTTTCACAACATACGACAACATTCAGGTTGGAATTTCTCATATTACATACCTGAATCTGGAATGCTATATCTCGCTGCCCCACGTTGCAATCCCAGGAGAGCGCGTGTATTTCGCCGAATTCGGATGGTACATTCGATAACTCGTGTACTTCCGACACTCGTCTGAAGCCGACGAATACCTCCGACAAGTTCCAATTAGTAATTCATCAATCGTCCTTTCATTTTTCACCCAATCGATGCTAATAATTATTACTGACAATGAACAATTTATTTTACCCTCGAAAATAAAAAAAATAGAGAACGGTATCTCGTACTTTTCACGAATCAATTTTTCGTTTTTTTTTTTAGAAGATGCTGAAAATTCAGACCAGAATTTTCCCGTTGATCAGTAGATTTTACGTATGCAGCCACTCGTAACTGAAAGTGGGTTGAACAGTTGAGATAGGTCATTTTCACGAGGATTTAGTGCCTTCGTTAAGCTCTGAGCTTCATTCAATTTTCTTCAATTTGCGGCAATTTGTGCTTACCGGCAGCCAGACCCACCGCGTATTCTCTCACCACCGATTTTCCCTATCCATATGTTGTATCAATGAGCAATCCCTTCGCCTAACGGCTCTCCCCCCACCCCCAAAAAAAATGACCTAATAAATTATTCCTGGCGATAATCAAAATGATAATTTCTTGAAAAAATTTCAATGACTCATTTCCACTCATTTATTACATAAATATTTAACATCGAACTGTGTAATCGTATGAAAATGCTGATTAATTGATAACGAAATATAATGCAACAGACACGGTAATTCTTGATTGGTGGAATATTCACCGCCGCAACGAGTTTTCCAGAATTTTCCCAGCACTTGAATCATTCAGGTACTTTGTCGGCAGACGCGCACATACAATCCGTAGAATCTGAAGTACCGTTTTCAAATTATTGCGTTCTAGTGGTGGATTGCAAAATTGCAGGCTCAAGGGAGAAATCGGGGGGGGTGGGAAAGGGAGGGAGGGGCGGGTGTAGATAAAGCCGGAGGTGTATGCGGGGGGCGTATTAGCCCCAGTACACCGGGATGCATTCATTAGACGTTACCTTCGAGCGTTTCAATTTAACGGTGAAGCTACTCTCAAGCCTCGTTTACAAGTCTATAACATCCACCAGTCGATCGCACTGCCACTTCATTTGGAATGGCATCGCGTTGATGGATATATCTCACGGATCCGCGGTTTTCATTGAGCTGTTGAAAATTTGTCGCTAGTCAAATCGTCATTACTTTTTTTATTCATCTGACCAAAAAACCGTGAAGTTGTCACTTGATTATTTATTTTAGGCGATGAAGTACATGAATTATGTGGAATTGTTGTAATTTCGTATTTAAATTTTTGAAAAATTTTTCAAAACCTTTTGCAGAGATAAAATTGTTTTGTTTTCCCATTTTTTTTTCGTTTGATAAAAAAAAATTCTGAAAAGTTTTCCCGAAATTTTTTGAAAATTTGGAAAAAATGTTTCGATTACAATTTTTTTTTACCCGGGTATTCCCCTGATCTCATGATTTCATGTGATATTACGCAGTAATTGTAGTTGATTTGATAAAATTTCTCAAATCCGGAAATATTTCCAATTTTGCAAGTGGAAAGTTTCCGGCTTGAGCTGAGGCGCAGAGAGCAATAGACATTGCGCGTCCATTTATACAAAATCCATTTTATCTCTCCCCCGCGATTTTATTTCCATCTCAAAACTCCTTATAGACAACGTATAAAGAAAATTCTCTTTTTGCGTTTTTTTCTGCCGAGCGAGGGTCCGTGCGGGTGTCCAAAGTTTAATTAGTTTTCGAAATGTATGAGGACGCCCGAGAAAGTTAAGTTTTTTCCAGGATAGAGAGAGAGAATTGTGCCGGTGCCCGAGACAATTTTCTTCCACCGTTGAAGTTTTTCAATTTCCCCTCCATTCATGGGAAACTCCCCTCGCTAGATAGTCCGACCTGAAGTCCACTCATTTCAGTGCTTATTGGCGTTTGGAAGGTAGAAATGAACGGGGAATTGAAAATAAACGGGAAAGATACTTCGAGGATGCCTCAATCAAACACGAAAGTTTATTTTATGACTGAATCATGAGTTGCAGACGATTTTCACGACT